GAGCAAAACTCTGTTCTTCACACTTATGCAATCAAGCACTGACTGACTGAGCCAATTCCCCAGCCCCTTGCGCCTTGTTAGAGCAATATATCCTCATTTCTCTTTCTGCCCCTTCCCCCATCTCCTGGACTCCAACACAATGTCCCACGCACTTAAATGCTCACTAGGCTCAGAGTCAGGAGTCTTAGTTTTTGTGCTCACTAATTTTCCTTTCTAGTTTCTATTAAATTTACTAACAATTCTGGGTTATAATCTTTGTGGCTATAACAGTCAGAACTTCTTTAACAGCAAAGACACATTGAGATGGAATGTGTCAATGCACTTGATACACTGAATCTGGATAGACTTTGCATTCTTCAAAGCTATGTGATGTCCCATCTTCAGTCCCCAAACCCTTGCCATCCTCCACCTCCATTCTCAACTCCCATCCTTACTCTTTCCCATCCATTCTTGATTGCTCTTCAACTTATTCCTTTCTTTTAGACTAACAGGGAAAGTAGTCTTCAAAAGCAAGTCTTCAGAAATGCTTTAAATCAAAATTATCATCGAAAATTTCTTAAGCCTTATAGAAGATAACATAGCAAGCACAGCACACACAGAGCCATTCACAAAAGTTGCAGGATAGCAGCATTTGGAGTGGAACAACTGGTAACTTGAATCTCTTGCCTTTGTTTTACACACACACACACACACACACACAGAGGATATCTGAATGCACAACTACATGCTCTCAAAAAAATCATTGGCTCAGATGTGTTACATTGTGAGCGGCACAACTCTGTTTTCCTCAATTTAGGAACCTCAGCTACTCAGATTTATCTTACTTTATTCTGTGTATGAGTGTCTTGCCTACAGTGTACAGAAGTGCTAGTAGACAGAAGTAGTTAGTAGCTAGTAGATGTCAGAAGAAGGTGTTGGATCCTCTGGAACTGGAGTGAAGGATGGTTATGTGGGTGCTGGGAATGAAGCTGGGTCCTCTGTAAGAGCAAAAAGTGCTCTTAACCACTGAGTGTCTCTCCAGCACAAACCATAGCTATTTACAAACAAATTTAAAACAAAACCAACTAACAAACACTATTTCACATTTGCTAAAGTAGACTATTTTAGTATCTTTCCTCTTCTCTTTTTCATTTGGACTAGGGTAGTCTTTTGAAGAGGAGCCTCTTGCCTCACCTCCAGAGAGCAGAAAGGGGTATGCACAGCAACTTCCATAACTCACATGCCAAGTGTGGATAACAACAATGTCAATAACAGTATCTATCTCTCAATGACTATTTTCTATGAGGTACCCTGCTCGGTAGACTTATACAAACATGCACACAGTAGGTTCACGCAATCTTTAAAACCAGAAGTCTTCTGTTTCTAGCTCACAACAGAGGAGTGTTGAACTAGAAATAGCCTCTCTTCACCTCACACCACTAAACACCAGTCCAACTGCCGCCTCAAAGAAACACTGCAGAAAAGCGGAGAATTCAAATTCTTGTAAGAAAACCAACTGGTAGTCCCATCAATGTAATTCTGACTTGGCACAGATCTGTAACAAACCAGGGATATGGTGCACCTGTGCATTTTTAATACAACTAAGGGTAAATGAAAGCACACACAAAAAAAATGGAGTTGGAGATATAGCTCAGGTGGAAGGTTTGAAGTTCAATCCCCACCCAGCACAGGATTAAGAGAAGAGCACAAAACAAAACCCACCCCAAACCTTAAAGGAGATCAGTTGTCTTAGTTTAGGATTTTATTGATAAAATAAAACACCATGATCCAAAGCAACTTGGGGAGGAAGGGTTTATTTCATCTTAAAACTCTCAGCTCGCCGGGCAGTGGTGGCGCACGCCTTTAATCCCAGCACTTGGGAGGCAGAGGCAGGCGGATTTCTGAGTTCGAGGCCAGCCTGGTCTACAGAGTGAGCTCCAGGACAGCCAGGGCTATACAGAGAAACCCTGTCTCGAAAAACCAAAAAAAAAAAAAAAAAAAAAAAAAAAAAAAAAAAAAACTCTCAGCTCACACTCTATCACTGATGGAAGTCGAGGCAGGAACTCAAGGTAGGAACCTGGACTGAGAAAATGAGATGGACTCCATGGAAGATTAGGAACACAGCTTACTGACCTGCTCAGCCAGCTTTCTTATAGCACGCAGGCCCCAAGCCTAGGGGGAGCACTGCCCAGAGTGGGCTGGGTACTCTCAACAACAATCATCAATCGAGAACATGCCCTACAGGTTTGCCTACAGGCCAATCTGGTGGGGGCATTTGCTCAACTGAGTTTCCCTTTTCCCAGATGACTCTAGCTTGTGTGAAGTTGACATAAAACTAGCCAGCACACTAGGGTCAGACCAAATACTCAGAAACTAACATAAAAATTAGCCAACGCAGTTCCTGGAGTGTTCTCCAGACCTCACTCCATCCCCGTTAGGTCAGATTCTTGTACATATGTATCTTTAAAATGACTACAATTGATCATGTTTGTAAGTCTGGCTCAGAATTCATGACAGTAAAAAAAATATACAGTACCTAACCAGAGATATTTTCTCATAGGAAACTCAATATTTTACCAGCTTCAGAAACTGCAATTTCCTATCATGTCAGATAAAGAAAAATCAAATTACACAAAGAAACCATATCATTTAAAATAACAAGATGTGCCATACTTGATCAGTTTGTTATCTCTCTAGTTTGACTCTTAGGTGAGAGCTTTAAACTACACTCAGTGTTCATACTGGGCACTGTGGAAGCTACAAAGACTTTATGCAGTCTAAGAATAATTTAATGAAATTCACTAAACACACACAGACACAAACAAACTGTCTGCACACAATGCTTTTCTTCATCTAACATGACCAAAAATGACACTGAAAAGGTTACAGGAAAGAATTCCACCAGAGTTGAACATTGAAGAACATGCTGTAATCCCAACAGGAGGGGGAAGCCACCCTGGGCTACATAGTTTTCAGAAACACATCGAGACACAGCGCTCCACTCTTGATTAAACAAAACAAAACAAACCCCTCCAGACTCAAAGGTATATCAAACAGGTCTTGTTTATTGTGCCAAAACATCAATGACGCTATTCTGTTTTTCCTCTGTTTGTCAAGGCCCTGGAAATCACTACTACTTTGGTTTCCTGACGTCTCCTACCTTAGTTTATTTCCTTTCTGTTCTCCACTCATGTAAAACTATACATCTTTTGGGGGTTTCCTGTTCTACTTAAAAAAAAAAAAAAAAAACCCTGCTGCTATTTCTGGGATAATGTATCTCTCTCCCCTAGGGCAATAAACTTTGTGTTTGCAGCAGAGACCCTGCTTACACAGTTTCTTCTATGTGCTTCCTTTCACTAGATATCTGGAAACAATCACGGAGCAGATCTGCAAGCCCCTAGAGTGTCTCTGAAAGCTCGGAACCTGACTATTTAGAACTAATTACCTTCAGGAAGTCTACTCAGGAAGGCTGCAGACAACAGCCACTACAATCACCCTCTGTGACTGCAACTCTGCACCTCACATCTATGGGCTATAAATAACCAACAGTAAAATGAACTCGAGATGAAAACTTAAAATGCTAAAGATAATGGAAAAATTAATAGGTGGTACTGCTAGACACAGAGGATGACTGGCGATTTGATGACATTAACGTCAGGACAAAGTCATTTGTACTTTGCAACTGCTATAATGCTGAAGACTTTAGTAGATCTTTACAGGGACTCTACTGAGACCGGAAAACAGAATTCACAAGGCCTTTATCTGGCTTTCTCTCTGAAATTGAAAACTAACTTTTATTTTAATGCTTTAAATTTTGGTTGATGCTGGTGCACTAGACACAAATACATCACATGTATATTCGTTTGTTTTGAGGGTAAAATCCCACTATGAAGGAGGGGTGAGACAGTACTCAGAGGCCACAGGACCAGATTAATTATAAACCTAGCCAACTGAACCTGAATTTTGTTCAAATACTTCCTGTCTTTTGTTTCAACCTGCCATACACCTTCAAGGTTAACTGCAGTCTCCCTGAGCAACGGACCAGCCCACTCCAAATTGGGAGATGGGGGTTCCTACTGCAAAGACATTTACTGACTCCTCGACACCATTTCATTTGAAAATAGGATATTGCTCACTGACTGTCAGACAATACACACTGCATTCCTACCCACACAGGGCCAACTCTGCTGAAAGCTAACACACCCACCTTGCTATGAAATATGCGGATGCTTTCCTATTAAGTTCTCAGGGAAGAAACAGGGTAGAAAGCAAAACTGAAATGCAACTCAAACCTAAAAAGCCCCTAAAAGCTGGCTTCTGCCATAAGAAACAGAAAGGGCGAGGAAGGTACAAAGGGCGATGGGAAGAAGGTAATGTATGATTTAAGCCGGGTAGCTCTCAACACTCAACACAGGATCTGGGGGGCTGTAGGAGAACACAGGATCTGGGGGGCTGTAGGAGCAATCAGAGGCTGGGGGATGGGAAGGGCTAAAGAGAGGGGGAGGCCGCTTTGGCTGTTGGAGGTGTCTGCCTGGGTCTCGTCTTTTTTCTCCCCCTCGCCCATCCCTCATAAGGAAAATGCTGTTTTTGTTTCTTTATCTTATGCAGAACCCTAGTTCTGGACCCAGGCATGCCAACAGGGACAGGTGTAGGAAGGGATGCCTGGATTCGCGCCGGTCCAATACAGGGGTGTGGGCTGCAACCTAGAAGACTGCACCCACCAGTCCCACTCCGAGGCTAGGGCTAGTCACAAGGCAACGTCGAGCGAGACAGGTCAGGAGGAGACCCCTGATGAGGGGCGGGGGCTGGCGAGAGACAATGAACAGTCGCGAGGACCCCGGAGGATGCCGCGACGCCTCCTCGGGGAATCCCGGGATCTGGAGGCGGCGGCCCCGCCCCCTAGGGAACCAGCCCTACCCCGACAGGGACTGCTGCTGAAAGCCACTCACGTTCCGGGCCAGGAGGCTCTCTCGGAGACCCGGCCCCCCAGCACCGCAGAGCCCCGAGCCCGCGCTCCATACCTGGCTTCGGCGCTCCGGGATCCTTACCCGCCGCCGCCTCCGCTGCCCGCTCCCCATCCCCAGCCTCCCAGGACCCGCCCCCTCATCCGCCGGCGGCAGTGACCGGCAGATACCATGACCAATCACAGCCTTGGACTTGCGGCTTTGCAACCAATCCTCGCCGCCTGAAGGCGGGGCTTCTCCAAAGTCATCCCGGCTCCTCCTGGGGCCGCAAGATCCCTTTTGTTTGGGAGAGCCAGGCTGGGATTGAGCTGGCGTCACTTCCGGGAGGAAGTACCTTCTTGTGGTCGGGGTTCGCTCTGGTCTCCCCCCGGTTCTGTAACTTTTCAGGACCCTGGGAACACCTGTGGTGGCTTATTTGGGGATTTATCCAAAATGTGAATAGAAAAAGTGAGTTTTAGCGTTTGTTTTAGAATTAGTTATTGAAAACCTAGTAACGTGTCTTTGCTTCTCTCTCTCTCTCCCTCTCTCTCCCCCTCTCTCTCCCTCTCTCTCCCTCTCTCCCTCTCTACCTCTCCCCCTCTCCCCCCTCTCTCCCTCTCTCCCTCTCTCCCTTTTTCTCTCTGTCTCGTGCTTCACCCACACTGTGATTACCATTCATGTTTGTGGGGCGATTTTTATATGTTTGGGCACCGTCTTACCGTGGACAATGTGTTTATAACGAAGCCGAAACAGAACAGTTGGATGAGGGGGAATGGCTGTCCTCGTGAACACAGGAATGCAGATCTTAGTGATAGAAACAAGACCAGATTACCTGGAGGGAAGAGAATGCACTCTACCATAGCCTGCACTTCAGCTCACAAGTGATTGAGCTGGATTAATGACCACATTGTTTTAAAGAACTTGTAACAAGTACATATAAGAAGCCAAGTATTTAAGTGCACAAGTAACATTACTCCGAATACACTATTCCTAACCCTCACAATTATCAGCAAGAGAATATTAAGGACTTAATATTCCCTCTGCCCGTGGTTTTCAACCTGTGGGTTACCACCCCTTGGATAACCTTTATCTGTAAAAATGTCTACATGACAATTTATAACAGCAAAATTGCAGTTATGAAGTAGCAGCGAGATTATGGTTGGGGTCACTGCACCATGAGGAACTGTATTAAAGGACAGCAGTACTAGGAAGGTTGACAACCACTGCCCTAGGCAAACACAGTCCTCGAGACAGGTGCAGTTTACCGTCTGGGTAGAGAGATGCCCAGCCCAAGTAATCATGGTTTAGAGGAAGTAAAACAGTATTTCTTGTCAACACGGTGCTATGATCATCCATATAATATGTGTGTCAGTGCTGTTCGAAAAGACTGTCTTACCCTGTAATGTGGACATTGCTTTGTAAAGGACACAATAACATGCAATTATGATGAGGAAATAGTCAAATCAAGAGAACCAGAGGAAGGCTATAGAGTTAATAACTGGAAAAGAAAAATTATGAGAATAACTCCAAATCTGTGCCATTGTCTGCTAACCAGCCACCAGCTCCCACCAGAGGGACCTGTTAGGACGTAGCAACAGAGCGAAGCCAACTCCATACCTTCCCGTAGCCATTGTATTGGGGATGGCATGAGGAGATGCTCCAGTACAGCCCAGGGGCTTTTGGAACGATGACCTACGGCACGAAGAATTTCGAAAAGATATCACGCTCTGTATTCAGAAAGACAGTCTGGTTGGATAGGGTGGATAGGGTGTGCACAGCGGTAAATCCCATCATTTGGGAGGTGGGGGCAGAGAAGAATCAGGAATTCAAGATCCTTCTTGGCTACACAGTGTGTTGCAGACCACCATGGGCTATAGGAGACCTCTCAGAATAGAACACAATGTCCGAAGTGATTTAAAGACACAGTATTAGGTACAGGAATAGTACCACGAGCTTGACAAGAATCCATTTCCTCCTCCTTCCTTTGCTTTGCCTGTGGGTATGCAGGGAGGAAGTGTCTCATTGCCAGACAATGAGGCAGATGTGGGACAACAGGCTATTTTTCTGCTGGATTCTGACTCACTCTGAGATTTGCTCCAATGAATCAGCTCGCCCAGCCTTCCTCTCCCTCCCTTTGTAGCTATTAATCTACCACCACCCATCCTACTCCAAAGCTGACCTAATGGAAACAGTACCATGTGACCCACATCCTTTACAGCACGGAGCAGCTCCGGACTCTCCGGGTTCCTTTAACCCCATTCCTGAGCAAGTGTAGAAAGGCTCAATAGGATGAGATCATTCTTGCCTTGTAAGACTTAGAGTCCTGAGAATGTTTAGATGGCTTTCAACTTGTCACCCCTGAGGTAGTGAACAGGCAGGGCTTCTGAGCCTCAGATAACCTAGCCTTCAACAGTGGCAGTGAGTTCTGGAACCTCGTGATTTAATGTAGAAAACTTGTAAGTAAGTTTAGTATCCTTGGCACATAGAGCGTGAAAATAGGCTCATGATGTTTTGAAAATGTAAACCGGATCCACGGTGTTTTGGTGTGTTTGGTGTAATCAGTGTGTCCATTAATATTTATTAAATGTTTCCCGTGTGTCTGGCAACAACTTTATGTCATATAAGTGCTAAATGATTGCAGTTTGGGTCAAGTTTTTTTTTTTTTTTTCCTCAGTCGGCAAATGTTGTAGGTCAATGTCCTAAGTGTTTTTTGCTGGCCTGGAAGGCCATGATCGAGTAAAAGATATTAGTCTGGAAATGAAGACAACAAACCCGGGTCTGATCACTGCTCTGTCATAAACTGTTGTTAACAAATCACCACCGAGTGGGCAGCTTAGAACAACACAGCATGTTCTCTCTGTCTGGAGGACAGAGGTCTGCAAGCAAGTTGTTGACAGGTTGTGTTCTTCTGGGGGCTGTGAAGACACCCATTTCACGGCTGTCTCCTGATTTGTGGCTCCAGGCGCTCCTTGGCACTTCTTGACTACGGTTGCATCACACACACACACACACACACACACACACACACACACACCCCGAGTCTGCCTCCATCACGACCTGGCTGCCTTCCCTTTTGCCTCAGTATTTTTATAATGGCCTCCTCTTTCCTAAAGGCACTAGACATATGGGATTTAGAGAGGGATTTACATTAAATAACTTTTTATTTTTTGAATTGGAGTCTCTCTATAGACCATGCTGACCTGGAAATCACAAGTAGCTGGGTTTATAAGCGTGTACCCCTATGCTTGGCTTATCTGTGTCTTAACTCATGACATTTATGAAGACCCTATTTCTAAACTAGTCCATGCTCTGAGGTTCTGGGTAGACAGTAAGTTTTAGAGGACCAGCTTGGCACAAATCTGGTTGACGATCGCCCCACTTAAGTCTAACTCCATTTTGGTAAATGGCACAAAAGGAATGGACAGATTCCTAAATATCATTGCAGGCTGTGATTGTAAAGCCATGTGTGTGTGTTATAATACATATTTATATATGATATATTATGATATACAATGGTTTATAGTATATATTATGCCAATCAAATATTAAATTGTGTTCCAGGTACTGTGGAGTTAATCTACATAAAGCACCTGTGTCGGTACCCTAGGAAGAATATTAATATTCCAATTTTCCCAGATTTGGAAATTGAGCACAAAGAGTTCCGCAACTGAAGAATTGGGTCAAGTGTTTTCTAAAACAGAGAGCTTTGTAGGTAGATGCTCTAAGTGTTTGGGAGGCAATGATAGAGTAAAGGAGGTTAGACTGGGTAAATACAGAGTACACCCTCATGATTACTATGTTGTGTCACCTCTCCACCATGCTCAGTGGGTTAGGACAATAGAGAATGCAGCAATATCTTTTGGGTTTGTGGGGCCAGAGAGACGGCTGGGTAGAGGCACCTGCTGCCACGCCTGAGGACTTGAACTCTGTTCTTGGAACCTGCGTGGTGGAAGGACAGAGCGAACTTCTACAGACTGTCCGTTAACAACTTCTTTTTAAAACTTTTATGTGCATTGGTGTTTTGCTCACATTTACATATATGTGAGGGCACCAGATTCCCTGGAACTGGAGTTACACAGTTGTGAGCTGCCATGTGGCTGCTGGGAAATGAACCTGGGTCCTCTGGAAGAGCAGTCAGAGCTCTTAACCACTGTCCCATCTTTCCAGCCCATTATTTAACTTCTACACTCAAGTCATGACAATGCGTACATGCACACAAATACATGGATAAACATAATGAAAATTTTTGATTTATGGGACTTGACGAGATGGCTCAGTAGCTAAGAACACCGACTTCTCCAAAGGACCAGGCTTCCATTCCTAGCACCCACATTGTAACTCACATCAGTTCCAGGGTTCCAGTTCTACCCTCTTCTGGCCTTCCAGTACACCAGGCATGCACATAATACACAGACATACACCAAGGTAAAATATTCATCAACATAAAAAGTAAAATAAAATAAGAAAATTAACAGTGATGTATGGAGTGCCTGGAGCTGAGACGTTTTCTTGGAGTTGCGTGAGCGGTTTGAGTTAATGTTAAAATGGGGGAAGGGAAGAGACACGGACCTGGGTTAGATCCCCAGCACCACATAAAAACAAAACAAGAGCAACAAGAGAAGAGCCAATAGCGAGTGGTGATGAAGCGCGGTGACTCTGTAACACCAGTTCCAGGGGTATTGGCACCGTCATATATGTACCTGAGGGCAAAACACTAACGCACACATAATTGAAAAAAAAAGTTAAAGGACAACTACCCAAAGTGTGAGGAGTTACCTGAACCTCAGTTTCCTCACTTTTAAAATAAGATGATCGCCTCTGTCTCAAATTCCAGGCTGTGAATGTAAGATGGCGTACATTAAAGTAACCCATCAATTTCCACGTGGGATTTTGTAAACCACCTGGAGACCTTTCTGAAGCTCTTTCTCCCTGTGGGTCCCTGCTCTCCAACTAAACACCCGGGACTCTATTATATTCTGGACTTTTAGCTGTGACCCAGGACACACTGGGCAGTACTGGGTGAACTAGATGAAGCTGGAGGAACTGCGAAATGTGCTGTGTCCTACCCACTCTCAGACGCCAGAGGCTCTCTAGTCCAGTACCAGGC